GTGAATGTTCGCCTCCTCTGGGACAAACTATTTCTGTAGTTCCAATTAGAAGTAATTCCTTCCCAGAAGTCATTTTCACATCATTGTCATTACACACCCCCATTCATCCAGTTCATTTTCTGCCCATTCCTGTTTTGCGTCTTGGCAGCAGCATCTGCACATCAATTGGACAAACGTAAGAAAGACTTTGAAGAGGAGGCAGATCTATTTGCAGTGGCTTTTCCAGGATAAAAATATTACCTACTTAGCAGACAGCAATTGCCTCCATAGTGGGTGGGAAGGTTGTTAATGATGGTGCGGTTTACGAGCTCTCACTATGGAAAAGTTTTGCAGGAATTTGGAGAGCAACCGAAACCCTCTTAACAAGCTTCTCTTTTAGATGATTAACAGGACAAAGTCTTCCGGTCTTCCTTCCAATCTCCATTTGTCTTTCCTAAATTAAATAGCTTTTCTTTGCCTTTCTCCCATGAAATTCCTGTAATAATAACATGGAGACTGGAAATTCAGTTCCTCTCATAAAAGTCTAATTGCTCCTCCTGGTACTTCCGTGGTACTCCACCCCCACCAAGCAGTCGATCGCTCTCCCATGTGAAACTGTGACACGACTGGGCCGGAAACATGTTGGAGATAGTTTGGGCATGGCTGCTGGCACAGATGCTGGAAGCTGTGAATTTCCACACAACACTATTTCCACTTTTGTGTATTTCTTTCTTTGGTATTTTGAAATACCAAAAATAATAATAATCATTAAAAAGTCAATTTACAGAAGTTTACAAGACCTGAAGTAGCAGTAATGAACTTTACAGATATTGGCATCCAAAAAGTTGCACCATGCTGGCTTTCCATTCAAATATAAAAAATAGGCTGGTGATCCCAAAGGAACATCACTGTCTTAAAAAAAATATATATATATATGAGTTTGTTCCACATTCCTCTGGTGTTAAAAATGCTTCCACTGCCATGGCTCGAAAAGGTAAGGCAAGCTTACAAAGCCAGCCTTATGGTGTGCCAACAACTACTAGAGCAAATTGGAACTTTTTCCACTGCATCAAATAAGTACTGACTCCATGTGCAATTTATTAGATTCACCTGCTTAACACAAACACAGAATTAGGCCCAGCAGCTTTTCACGAAAACACTCAATGCAAATTGATTTATCAAATCAATAATATGTTCAGGTTTGCCATTTTAAGCTAAAAAATGACAACATCTGATGACTACTTAGTCACAAAACTTAAATAATCGCATGTTGTGTTATTGAACATGAATATAAGTTCCCTGCACTGCAGTGACCTCCAGATTAGGTACAGATTAGTTAATTCTGCAGGCAAAAAGGTTCATCTTCATCTAGCTAAACTCACCACTTATAGATTGTTGGTCATGTTTCTATTTATGGATTATCATCAGTTATAAACTCCAGATTCTCTGGAAACAGCTTTGTAAAACTTCTTTTGATATGGCATTGCTGCGCCATGCTGGCCCTGCAGTGTGCCGCTCGTCGTGGGTGTTCTGGGACTGCAAACGCTCATCCTGGAAGGTCATTAACTCACAATTTAATGATGGAAATTTGAGGGAAAAGGAGTTTCATGTTGGTTTGATGTATACATTTTTGCCCACATTTTGTATAAATCTCATCGAATCCACATTTATCACATTTGTATATATATGCTTACATGCTGAAAAGACAAATTAATTTAAGAGTTTTCTATCATGGTGAAAAATGAAAATGGAAATATGTCTCATTGGCAGTAGTAACTCATAATGAACTCATTATTTTTCTGTACAGTTAGAGAGAACTTAGAGTACAGGTTTCCCCCCCGAGAAACATGAGTGGGGAAAAACTCAACAAATAACGCCAACACCTAGCAGACGAGTTGAAGCCATGGACCACACAGTTTGCACCCTGAGAAGCTGGGCTACAAGATCTATTAGCATAACAAACCACTGGGTGTAATTTCCCCTCTGATGCGTCAGATTCGCACCGAGTGAGAGAGAACGTCCTGTGAACGTCGGAATAGTTTTGAAAAAAGTTCTGGGTCTTTTGCGCAGGTGATAGTTGTGCAGCATTATAGTGACGGGATGCAGGAAGCCATTAATTGGTGAGAACTCAAAGACTCAACCTTCATCCAAGAGTGTCAGCTATGAGCATAGTGCAGCGACTCATTCTTATCTCCAAGAAGAAAGAAAGAGTCATGATGGTACCATTTGCTTTGGATGGAGGGATCAAAACAAAGAGAAAAATCGTCCCAAGATTGGGCAGGTGGAGCAGGTATCAGAAAGACGGACCAGAAAAACTAAAGCGAGTGGCCCGAAGGCGGTCGAGCAGCATGGAGGCTGACACGACGAGGCCCAGAGTTCACCAGGTTGACCCCGAGGTCAGCAAAGCCAACAGAGTCTCTGAAGGATGACCCTGAGACTAATGCTGACCTGAACACGACTAGAGCCCAACCTCTGTCATATGCATTGCATTCTTCTTCCTCATCTGGGTTTTAAAGCTCAGCAGGAAAGACAAACAAGATGAAGATGATTTAAACTCCATGCTAGCATGTGTCATGTCTGCTACAGTAATTATTAAGTCTTTATACTGAGACTAGCAGGGATATACACAATGTGGAAAAAAATTGTTTAGTTTTTTTAAAACTAAACTATAAAACTAAACTAAAATCTACTGTAAAAATTCATAATTTGATGTTCAACTCGGTTTCTATAGAAGAAAACTGACCTTTGACCCAGACCTTTAAAATTGTCTTAATCTAACTAACAAAGAATAAAATAACTAGAGTGTCTATTTAAAGGCTTCTCTTGTTTCAGTGGTTAAATTTTTGCCATGCTAGATGCTTGTGATGATTAACTTAGATATTAAAAACAGTTTATTTTGAATTCTTGGCAGACATTCAAAACGTCCAAACTATTTTTATTTATTCCTTCTAGGAATTTAGCTCTGAACATTCCCACTAAACCTCACTCTTCACCGGGTCTGAACCTCACGTCCAGATCAGATGGTACCACTGATTAAATCAATACCTGTGTGGCTATAAAATGACCGATGAACTCGTCGGGGTTCCTTAAACATGTGATTGTTTTGCTGTTCTTCTGTTATCGTCCATCATAAACAGCTAGGAAGATTTATTTCACACAGTCTGGGAATGATTTGAGTTTTCATTAGCAGTATGGATTGTATGTTTTCAGCACATTTTTGAACGTTGACCGATGGGTGTATTTTTTGCAATGCATCATGGGCTATCAGCATGCTTCCAGCAGAAAGAGGCCCATAGGGCATTGTTCTGTAATTCCTAGAAAGGAAAATGTCTAACACATGGAAAGAACATGAGGCAGTCCGGGACTTTATGAGAATACATCAAAAGTACAGCTGCACTGGACATATATTAGATAAATGAATAAATAAATAAAAACAGATTGCATAATACAGAATCCTGAAAACAAAAAAACTGGATCTGAAACTTTCCTGTCCATGGAAACTCAATAAGTGAGGAATTTCTACTCCTGTTTCCAAATTTTCCACACATTTGAGAACAGAAATACCTTTATTTCTGCTTAATCTTGAAAAAACAGATATCAGAGTTTAGACAGTAGGCTGATTAATAATAAAATGAATTATTGAGTTAACACAGGTTGGGACGCTTACATAGTGCCTAGTGTAAGCAGTGGAACAATATGTCTTCTGATTTGATGCTAGAGCTGGTTGAGACTGATTATAACCTTAAAAAGGGCAACATTTTAAAATATTTAAACATAAACTTTATTAATCGACATGAAATGGAGATCCTTAAACATAGAAAATATATAAATGTTAATTTTCTACTTTTTAAATTTGAGAGAAGCATATAATGTGGAGGCAAAAGAGGATATTGTGTACTGTCATGCATTTTTTATGTTGCATCCTGTGTGGCGGTGTAATGTTTTGTCCCATGCTGTATGTTATTGTCTCGTTGGTAATATGAGTAGAGAGTCTCGTCAACTCCTTCAGGATAATAAAGTCGACAGTCTGCCTTCCCACAGACATTTCATTCCTAACCTGTAGGGTTTGATTAAACCCACCCAACCTCTAATGCAACTCTTTTGAGGGAGCTGTTCACACGGATTACTGAAACTTCAAAACAAGAATGACTCTCGATTCTGTAATGAGTCCTTGGTTCAGGGTTCTGGTTTTATTGGATCTCTAAGAGGACAGAGGAGCGCTTTGTGTTTTGCTGACTAATATTGGTGATTAAATGACTCCAGATTCTGTGTCTGGTGTAATTGGAGGCCCTTGAAGTGAAAATAGGCTGTTTGTGAAAGTGACTCGTAAAGATTGAAGTGCTGAACTTTGGTGGCCCAGACATCCTTGCAGGTGAAGACTCTTTCCAAAGATGAACTCCAGCTTGACACCTTTGAAGGAAAACACAGATATAAACCCAAGGATTTACTCTAAAAGGATTGCTACTGCCACACAGGGTCAAAGTTCAGGCTGCTTGTATACAGGTTTCATTTGATGGAGGTTTGCCAGGTGCTGCCTGGGAAAGAAAAGAACAGCAGCTCAGTGGATGACCCCATAGACAGACGGGTGAAACAATCAACATCAGTATGAATGACTTCATTTTCACGTGCACAAACCTTGGGGCCAATCCAGTTGTCTGCCATATCAGTGGATATTTATGTATTTTGTGGAAATGGAAATATAATGAAACCTAAAAAAAAAACCTGTTCACAATTTTCCACATCCCCCCAACGCTTTAGCACCAGCTCGGAGCTGGGTGTTTCAAAGGCATTCACCGAGGGTGAGATCATCCCAAACTTGCTGCGTTTTAAAGCAGCGGGACAAACTTCTAACACATATGGGCCACAAGATTAATGCTGCGTCTGCAGAGCGTGGGTGCCTCCTGGGATATGCATAAGCAAAGGTCAATATTCCTCACCCACTTGATGTCAGATTCACATGCAATCTCATGCATATGGGTTGATTTTAATGTGCAGCTTTGGTGACCAATAAATAGCTAAGAAGGAGGTTTTGAATTTTTTGTTTTTTCAGGAAAAACGGGCTGGATGGAAAATGAAACTTGCCCAATATTTATATTTACTCAGATTTTCTAGATCTGTTTAGAACTCCGTCCAAACTTCGCTTTGTTCTTCATTGCCTGCTGCTGTTAACGACGGTTATCTCGTTAAATAACAGCCTCTGCTACAGGATGCCGACCTGGAAAGATCAGAGTTCAGGCCCGAACGTCAGACTGAACCTGGAAGAGCGGACGGCAAGCAGCTTGCAGGCCTGGGTTAAGTCAACATTGGTTTTGACTGAAGCTACGCTCCGCCTCTATAGCGTGTGTTGTTTGGGATTTTTTTCAGATTCACTCCGGACCAATTTGTTCCAGCTGCTAAAATGAGGCGACGCTGCCTGTCGGTGTGAGTTATGGCAGAAGAGGAACAGAGATCTGACCCACGGTGCTGTGAGAAAGTAATCACCTCCTTACAGATTTCTGATGATTTTCACTTTTCCAGCACATTTACACTTTTCAGATTTCCAAAACAAAATGTGATATTAGACAGAAATAGTCTGATTGAAAACAAAAGCCAGTTTAAAAATGATTATTTAATTTATGCAAGGAAGAAAGCTCTATAGACAAGCCTAGCCCTATTGCTAATACCTACTTTGATACACTCTTTTTTGCAGAATTATCTTAACTCGGCCATATTTCTTAGTTTTATCTCTAAATGGTTAGGTTTATCCCAGATCTAAAAAAAATACCTTTTTGTTCAGTCAGTCCACTGAATATTTTTCTAAATGTCTTAAGTGTTATTAACTCATGTCATAGTTGTGTGATATTTAAATTAGTTTTGGTGATGAGATGCTCCATAACACTCATTTCTTTACACGTATTCATTTTGTTTCCATCATTAATTGGATCCTTTGAGGATTCAGAGTCACTCAGCCATCAGAGTCTAACGAGATAAACATTTCTGTCCTTCTGTCTCACACACCTGCTGCTTTTGGCTTTGTCCTGTGAGAGGCTCCCCATTAAACCGGATTGAATTACACACACTCCACACACACGCCTGCAAATTTCACTCATTACTCACTGTGGTATCATTTTCAGTTCTCACATTGGTCCTGAACACAGAAACAAAGCGTGTAGAAAGGTTCTGTTTGAGCGCCAGAACTTTGCCTGTGAGAGAAAACTGATGTAATGGCATTAAAAGAATCGGTGTGGAACCAGGAAGTGGCCCGATTCTTGTACTGATTGGCTGGTTTTAAATGGATTTGGCTGTAGGGTGGCATCAGGACCAATGACTAAATCCAAGTAGACCATCAAGAAAGACATATAACACAGAGAGTTCATACTTCTGGCATCGCTTAATGGTTTTAGGCATGTTATTCTAACAGTAGGCCATATTTCATACCATAAACCTGCCATGAGGTTAGCAGCTAAAGAGTTGAGGGTCGGTCAGAGAATAAAGTAAAAAATGTTTGGACAACTTAAACTTTAAGTTGTGAAGTCTTGAAGAAGTCATGTCCTTTGAACCTTTTCAGTTTTTTTACATGCTACCAAAAAGTACCTGAAAAGTTTTGCATCCTTGTGTATTCAGATTTATATTCCATTGAAATTAAATTATAGTATTTCACTAAATTATAGTGAAAGGAACTTTCATTAAATTGTTTGTCAAAAAAGTTTTTAAAGTCATTCACTACTTTGTGTTTGTCTATTGTGTAAAAGGGTAAGAAAATACAGTGAAGTTGGATTTGTAAGAGGTACTATATTTATATATTTTCAAACTAGTCATTGAAAACATTGAACAAAAGAAAACAAAATGTCTTGAACTGCATTTGCTCATTTTCTTTCAGACGGCGTCTTCTCATATAAGGGTCAGCTGAGTGCAAGCTGCAGCAGTCCAGCAGGAAACCTGAGTTGTTTGTTTAAAGCGACTTGCCATGCGGTTTGCATTTTATTCCGGATTGTGGGTGCAGCTAATGAAGACAGTGACAGTTCGTCCTACGCACGCGAGTGACTCATCCACATGCTGATTAAGGGATCTTCTCACGGAGGAGCCATCAGGATCACTCCCTCCCACTCCATGGACTGCAGCTCGGTGTTTATCCAGCTGCCCGTTCGGGGTCTCGAAGACCCCCGCTCCTGTCCCGTCCATCTGATGGAAGCGCACAAAGAGAGAAGGAGAAAGGTGGCAATTTAATCCCTGCTCTGCTGTGTTGGTGATTTAAGAGCACCCTGAAAACCGAGTGTTCATCTAATCTCATTTCCAGACTTTCGAAATGAGCAACATGTAAATGAAAGTATTAGGTTTGCATGTTTCTGTTCAGCTCTGCCAGCAAGGAAATAGCATACAGTTCAGCGCACTCTGGGACGCAGCGGGCGTTGAACCTCAGCTCACCCACATCGACGGGGATTCGACAGCCAACAGACATGTGGCTCAGCGGTTTGGAGCCGAAGCGAGCCGGAAACGATTGAGACTGAAATAAATAAAGAAAAAACGAGGTCGACTTCAGTGACAGAGGTCACAAAAGAAGCAGGAGAATCACTTTCAGCTAACTCGGCCTCCTCTTGACAAGGTTAAACATGCCAAGAGGGAAAAATCTCCCTAAATGAGACAAATCTAGCAATGAAAACAAAACAGTAACCAAGAAGATAATGCAAGTTGAGCTTGAGGTGATGATTTTGGGGATTGCGTGTCAGATCAAGTCAGAGTCCAGCTGCAGCAGGCAGGATGTGTGGACGGCTGCTTTCCAAAGAATCCCCCAAACTCCTTCATCTGACATGACGGCGAGCGTTCAGCTGGCCAGCAGCCCTCCTATAAGTCTATCCTAATGGGCAGGGGGGTTAAACAGTTTAACTGGAACCATATAAAGTTCTTAAATGACTTATTACTGTGATTCATACAGACGAGGTTCCCAGAATACAGACATTTAAGAGGAAAATGATCCAGATTTGCCACAGAAGTTAGTTTCCATGAGCTGTGAGATTCAACCTAAAACAATAATAGTGCCAAAAGTATTTGCCCCCATTTCACTTTATAAATACAAACCTAAACAAGCTTTATTAGAATTTATTAGGATTTCAAATCAAATTGTGCGTCATTAAGAAGCAGAGGGGTTGTGTTGTTTTTGGAAACTAAAAATCTGATCTGAAGTCACAGCATGATGCTGCCACCACTATGTTTATCTACAGGTTAAAGATTCATTATGTGAGTTCTTGAGCTATTTAGTTCTGATTTGGATTGCAGTACCATAATTCTGTTCTGGATTTCTGCTGTTTTCTGTTTCATTCTCATGTTCCTTTGGGGTCTGATTTGTCGTCTTATGGACACTGTGATCACCAGATCCTCGTGTTTTCAGTTTCTGAATCTCAGCATCTCGTATTTCCTCTTTTTACAGCTGAGATTATTCCTGTTAATCACCACACCTGCACTAATTACTTCCCAGTACATTTCTCTCCTGGTTTTCCTGAGTTTTTACCTTCTTGCATCCCGAGGTTTCTTTTCTTCTCCCCACCACACCCAGTTTTGGTTAGAGGTACTGTGTGTACTTTTCTTCCCACTTCACAATTATCTTCTACCTCCTGAACCAAACCTGAGCATTGAGGGGATGTGAAGTCTGCTGCAGGCACTGAACTTTCAGAAGTATGCAGTGTATTTACATTATAGGCATTGGAGGGGAAAAAAAGCTAAAAACATTCTCCAAGTCACACGAACTCATCTTGGTATCAAACTGGAAACAGGTGGATGCCATTTCATAGCCCTGAAGCTCATTTGAGAACATTTAAGATCCAACAAATACATGTTTGGACTGAATCTTTGCACGAAGATGATTCTTCACCAGCTTCTTTTCACACATAAAAATAAGCTAAATGTCAGACAGAAAGAAACTTTTCTTAAGAGAACAAAATCTCTGACATTGGAGAGTTATGAAAATTGTCTATATACAAGTAATTCTATTAAGCAGTGGTGTCAAATACAAGCACATTATACTCCTGAAATGAATATGTCTTCTGATTACAATACATTACATCCCTACAGAGGCTGCATGTATTGTTAAAGTTCCAGGCTTTTGTTATTGGGTGTGTGAAAGATAACAATCGCTCATTTTAAGACTATTTGACTTGTACAAAATAAATGAAGACCAAACTAATCTGTGAGGTGAAAAAGAATACTAAACTATAACTTCCTCTGACTCAATTTCAGCATCTTCTCCAAGTGTTTTGGGTTTTTGGAGGCCAAAAACAGACAATTTTGCCCGTCTCAAGACTCTGGTCACTCATCAAAAAGACTTTAATGCATAAGAGCAGCAAAACAGGACATTTTAACACTTTTGCTTTTACCTAACAAAACCTAGACGAAAGCAGTGTCAGCAAATTCTCAATTGAGACTGTTCTTGTTTCCTTAGACTCTTCTGACTCCGAGGGGCCAGCAGATGGACAGAGATACCCCACACCAAGTCTGAACTCCTTCACAGGCAAGAAAAACAGCCATTTTTGCACACTGAACACCAAGTCTTTCCCCAGCCCACCGCGGGAATAATGCCCGCTGTCTAACATCACTCATGTAACACATTGAGACTGACAGCTCATCCCACAGGGTTAGTCTGGTGTTTCCACACACACATCATCTGGTGCCAGCCATAGCCACAATATATAAACTGCATGTGTGTGTGTAAATATTTCTGTCGTCTTGTTTGTATGTGCAGAACATTTGCTGGGGCCATTTATGCTTTTCATGAAGCAGAGTTGGGAAGGCCACCTGTTAGTAGAAAGGCTGTTGGTTCTGTGAGAAACACAAGAATTAGACAGAAGAACCCAATTTACTGATCTCACACTGTGCCACAGAGATCTTTAAGGAAATGATGTCAATTTTCTGCCTTTTATACAATGCTTTGAGTGAGAATTGTTTGGATTTCTGCTTAAATATGACTAGAATACATAAACTGACGTAAACAAGCACACCAAATGGGAAATGGACTGAACTTGTGAAGCATACTAGACTAACAAACTGATGTAGACCACAAGTCGCATGAACCATTTTTAAGCTAAAACTCTTAAATATTCAAACACCAATGTGCACATCTGGGAAGCTGGAACTGAGATGAAAATAACTATGTTTCCATTGACTATATAATTGCAATTATATTGTCACATCACACTCATTTCGTGATCAACAACCTGATGACAGGAAGTGATGGAAGGATGATGGAGGACGATGGCGAAATGCTGACTCCCACATCCATCATATGTTCAATGGTGTCATCAGATATGCATAAATTTCAGTCACTGATTCATGCATTTCCTTCCTTTATACATTTTTTTTACCTTTTCCCTTGCTAGTTCTGCAGAATAGATTAGGGCCAGAAAGTATGGAGGCAGCAGAAACAATCTGACATCTCTGATCTTCTTTTATTCTCGTCTGTCTTCTATTTTCCATTTCTAAATGCTATCACTAACTACTGCAGAAGGGAGATATGGTTACTGGCTTCAACTTTTCTCTCTGTGTGAGCCAACCCCCATGACTGTCTGCTCAGCTCAGGTCTCTGTTTTGTTTGGGACCAGCCAGTTGCAACAGACTGAATAAAGAAGGAGGAGATACGGACCATATATAATGGATGGAGACACATCTGTATTCTGCAGCTGAAATGTCAGAGGGATCATAAACGTTGCCAGTTTCACATTTAACTTGGATTTCTATTTCAGTATTTTGAATATTTCCAGCCAGCAAACATGTAAGCTTCCACTGGATGTGCTGACAGAAATAGTTTTATGTCTACATGCTAAAATGAGTCAAGAAACTTGTAGGAATCAATCGTCTTTTGTTAGCAGATGAAGATGTCAAGCCTTTAGACGGAGTGGAAGAAAATGGAAACTAACAAACAAGGTTGCCAAAGAAACCTAAAATAACTCGACACAAGAAACGTGTTGCATCGTGCCTGCAATTATGTTTGTAAATCTCCAGAGAGATTGTTTCATCACCTCACAACTAATCAGAAATGCACATTTGCACAACACAAATCAGTGAAGTCCTGGTGACATGTGGGTACAATTATGTTAGCTGAAAACTGCATGAATGCACAGAAATGTTGCATTAAATATCAATTTATTGCAGAGTTGTATGTATTGAATGTCAAGGTTTCTTCTAGGGTTGCTGCCAGAGTATGGAGTATAGAGGATACTTTGAAAGATGTTGTTTCTTGTAAATTCATAGGAAGTTTGTTGTCCAGCAGTATCGAGCTGGTTGTGGGTGCAAGTAGGACTCTTCCTGAGCTGGTCCTTGTTTCTGCCCCTGAGGGTTAATGGACAGGATCTTAACGTGCAGTTCTGAGGAGGAGGGCGTCTGGTTTTGCAACCTCAGGGTCACATCTTTGCCTGTTAGGGTTCTGTTGAGGTCAACCATGACCTTCATGAATACTCCAGAGGTTTAAAGCTCTAACGCCCAAGGCAACTGGAAAATAAACTCAATGTGCTGTGAAGTGGCTACCCCTGTTTTAAAATGTTGATAATGTTGACATTTCCACACCGTTTTGGCTAAAAACGGTTCCTTGCATCCTGTGTACAATTATCTGCAGATTCATAGATAATTTGCAATATGGTTTTAAAAGAGCTAAAAGCAAAAACCTCCATAACTAATGGACACATGAAACATAACTGGTGAGATGGAAGCACTTTCTTTACTTCTATTAGTTCTTAGAATCAAAAAGTTTCAATTTATGCCATCTTTTTTATTTCTTATAATCTCCATAGTAAATGCTCAGTGTTACTCTCTGTTACACGGAAAATAAATCTTGGGTTTCTCCAGCTGCAGGACTTCTGTTTTCATGAAATTCCATCAGGTTTAGTATTGTACTGCCAGCCATAACTGAACTTTCACCTTCAACAATCTGTCAGGACACTCCCTTGTTGATTAGATTTCCTGCTGCTCGGGAATATTGTCAGGAATACTGAGATGGAAAAGAGTGGGCCAAAAGGATAAAGGCTGGAATAATGACTATTGATGGGGAAAAAGAGGCAATAACAGAGTTAATTGAAATATGTGAGCAATTCAGATGCCTTTCCAGTTTTGTAAATAAGACACATGTGCTTTGTGAAAGGATGTGGGTTACAAAAACACATTCCTGCCTCAGAACATTCAGACAGGCATGGATGTCCCAAAAAAACGGGAGGAAGGAAGAGGAGAGGCGAGCAGGCAGGTCAAGATTAAGTTGTGAAATCGGACGAGAATAAATCGGTAACTTGTGAATCAGAGTATCTGGGCTGGTGTTTCCAACGCAAGGAATGCTATAACCTGGAGGTAAACTATATCTGAATGTTATGCAATATCCACACCCTCTGGTGATGGATTCAACTCCCTGAAGAATCACATTCCACAACATCTTGATTTCTTCAAGCTTTCCACCTGATAGTATTCTACTTGGAAGAGAGAAAAACAATATTTCAGAGTAGAGACTGACCCTTTGTGGTTGGTTTTCTCAACCACAACTCCCCATTTATGACTGCAATGTTCCTTTCGTCCAATGCCTACTTACAACAGGACTGCACTTCAGCTTGCAGGGTTCAAATAGTTACTTGAACCAGTGGTCTCCCTAACCTGTTGATTCATTATATGTTGCCATGAAAATGTACATGATTGCATGCTTTCCTTTGAAAAGCGACATTTTCAATGAAGTAACTTTCTCGGACTGAAGTTTGCTTTTATAGATAAAAACTATTGTCATTGTGGTTGACAATGATGCATTTCTCAGTTTGGTGGGCAAAGCTTAACATATTTTTTATTATTTGAAGGACAGTTGTGCTAATCTTCACTTTGTGGGTCATTATGGTACTGAGAAAAATCTCACATTTCCTCGTCTTGCTTCATGAAAATGACTGTTGGAAAAACAACTCCCTGTCATTTAGTAGCTCTAACTTCTGCACATTAAGACCTTTACTTTTGGGGGGAGCAGCTTCTAAGTGCTTCTTGCTGCTAAAGTCCACAAATGTCTTCTGACATGTGTGAAGGTGGAGGAGACACTCTGCTGAAGTGCTGTGGTGTGTCAGAGCAGATAAAGACATGAGCACAGGGCCTTTACGGACAGAGTGAGACTGCTTGTTGATGTTAGCTGTCTCACTGACATGAACCATGCAGCCGCTCCATGTACTATTTGACCTTCATGTAACAAGATAGCAATTACAGTTCTGGGTCACTTTTCTGTTTTTATCCAAACAGCACAGCTGTTCTACTCAGCAATAAGGCTAAAAGGACAACACTTGATAAAGCTCACGCTGGATATTCGATAAACCGATTGGGAGGGTTCTTTTGGGGTATTCTAGTAATTATGCTGCTATGTTGGCACACTGACGACTGCCACAGGGCGCTGACCCACTTCTCTGTTTACTGACTGACCCATTTAGCTGTCTGACAATGATATATCTGTGAGCAGAGTTTTTTGTTTGGTGTGTCAGTGTGTCAGTGTGTCAGAGGCCATGCCGTCGGGCTGAGGGACACAGTTTGCCGATGGGCGGCAACTTCCTGTCATCAATCCGTGGCTAACACAAAACCGGACTTACGTTGGAATATGTGCTGACAGATGAGACAGAGAGACATTCGACCCTAACGCTCCAGTATATTATAATTCAGACAGATTTCGTTCCAGTGGGATGTCGACCTGTAAACCCTTGGATCATTGACTTCAAGACCCAAACACTAAACTTTTTTATGTATCCTTTGTACGTCTCTTTACTTAATTAAATCATTAATGAGCCGATAATAGTTTTTTGACCATAATTACCAGTTCCCCATGTATTGTTGAGTGTATTATTAAATAAATTTTAATCCTGAAAAGTGTGTGTAAACCTTTAGATTCTTTTGGTTTTGCTCAGATCACCGATTCCATTATTAGATTCACTGGATTAAAAAGATTAATTTAGCTAAACGTAGCACATCAACCCAAGAAATGCAACTCAAATCTTGCTGAGTGCATAAAAGTTCAGGATTTAATCAAATTTAACAAGCCCCAAAAGCTCTTCTGTCAGCACTGCGCTCCAACCAGGCTCTCAAAGCGTCCAGCTGCAGAATGAGAACGTCAAAGACACAGAACGGACTTTTGACCCTCATGTCCCGGAACAATCTTTTTAAGTGGAGAAGTCAAAGCCCTTGAGGGAATTCACTCTTAACACCAACTAAACGGTCAGGAGTCTGATGGGCTGATCCAGATGTAGTGCTTGATTGAATTAGGATGTTTGCATCTTACTACCTGGTGTGTTAGCTTTTATCAATAAGGAACCCAAACGGGGTGTGTTTGGTTGTTTCTGCTGCACATTGAGAGGTATTATCGGGCTGGAAACATGATCCAGGAGACTGCTTTGCATTAGAGGCCATTAAGGTGCGTATGATGAAAACCAGAGCCTCTGGACACTATCAGGGGGACAACAGGGTGAACAAAGTGATAGAGGAATGAAAGGTCTGTGCTTAGAGTAAAAGATTCTGCATC